TGTTCCTATTTACAAAAGTACAAAGGGGTGGTTCCTATTTACAAGAGTAGAATGTCATCAATTGATTTAGCAATAAAGGTAATTCCAAATAAAATTCACCAAACAAGAATTAATTTTGAATAGATTAATTCGAAATTTAATTTTTCTAAGAATAATTGGTGAAATTCAAAAGGTATTTTGCAGGAATTTTACAAGAAGATGTTAAAATTTCGGAAAAGGGTGATTAATTTCAAATAAAGAGATTAATTCAGTCATGAATTAATTGAATGTAGTAGAAATTAATTGAGGAACTCAGAATAGCAAAAAAAGAAAAGTACTTCTTAATCATATAAAAGAAAGGAATTTCGAAAGAAAATTTCAAAAAGGAATTAATTGATTATGAAGTATTTCAAGAAATTTTTCGAAAACAAAAAGAATTTTATTAAAATTATTTTCGAATTAAAAAAAAGAAATATCGAAAAAAAAAATAATAATTCCAACGTATTTCAAAATTTTTGAAAAAGAATGAATTGAAAGTAGTTTGGAATTACGAAATGTCTAAAAAGAGTTTAATTTATTCTAACATATTTCGAATTACGAAAAAGAAAGGAGTTGATTCTAAAATATTTCCCGATTACAAAAAAAAAAAAAAAAAATCTAAAAAAGAATTAATTTGGAATGCTTACGAAAAGGAAATATCAAAAAAGAATTTATTAATTTTGAATTATTTCGCATTACAAAAAAATTCCAAAAATAAGTAATTAAAATTGTTTTTGAATTACGAAAAGGAAATGTCAAAAAAGATTTTAATTCATTCTGGAATATTTTTGAATTACAAAAATTTCGAAAAAGAATTAATTAAAATTATTTCGAATTTCTTGGAAGAAATGTCGAGAAAGAATAATGAATTCTACATATTGCGAAAGTTTCAAAAAAGAGAATATTTTGGAAAAGAAATGTCGAAAAATATAATTAATTAAGTATTTGCAAATTTACAAAAAATTCAAATGAATAATAAAAATGAATTATAAATAAATAAAGGGATGATTGATTGGGTGGTAGCGTGGTGGGTAGGGTAAAGGAAAGGTTTGTATGGGGAGATTGATGATGATGATGATGATGATGATGATGATGATGATGGGGAAGGGAACATGGGGGGAGAGTTGCGCAAGGGGGGGAAGCGGACTCGAGGGATCGCGCGCGGGCCGAGCGTGGGAAGGAGCAAGTCGGGGGAAGGAGGTC